AAAAGCTGTAACAACGCATACGGCGCGACGAAAACAATAACAAGGTATAAAAAAGTAACCACCACGAAGAAAACTCGTTATGTCGTCCCTAATAGTGGTCGCCGCTACGTTGCAAGCAGCGTTGAACAAAGCCAACGAAAAAGGTTGGCTGCTTTTAAGGATAATTACATATTCAGGTAATGGTAATTGCTGTCGTCGTTGCGCTGATGTCGACTATATTGCGCGAGCATGCACATACGCACTTACTTGCGTACTTGCATATATATTTCGTTTTATTTGTTCTTGTTTTCGCTTCATTTCAAGGGTAAACAAAAAATAAGGGTAAACGTGACGCAGCGCAAACTTCTAGATAGCGATTTTATTGTGTTTCGGTAAATACCAATAAAACGGAATGTGCGCTCAGCGTTAAAATCTAATATTGAATTGAATTGGTTTTCTCTTATTATATTTGTTTTTGGTTTTCATGTTATGCATGCAGGCATATGAAGTGCAGATGGTATCAGTGCATGTTTTTCTACATAATAATAATTCTCACGTTCTCAGGCAGCAAGCATTTTTCACACCAATCTGCGAAATCTAGCCCCGCCTGCAGCAACAAATTCTATTTAACCAATAACTTTACACCGGGTTAAACAATTATTTACAACGCGGTTAGCCGCTTATGCACAATATATAACATCGAAGAATTCGTCAAAGAAATTACGAAATATGTACCAGCATCAACAAATGACACACTGTATGGGAGCAACAGTAGGCAAGAGCCATCAAAACAAACTACAAATTCACCGCCAATTGCAGCGCTATGCGCGCGCATTTGTTTTCAAAACATTTTTCGCTTTCGGTTTTTTGTGTTACGCTTTAACATTTCATTTCTCGCATTCACTGTTTTCATATGTTGTTTTCATCATTTATTACGATTTTCTGCTATTTGTGATTTTTTCAGATATTTTCATATTTTTTCTTGTGCACATACTTGTTCTGTATACATCGGTATAGTATTGGCTTACCTTTTTCTTAAATCCAGATTTTCGCCTTTGTTGCTGCGTTGGAACTTAGTTTTGTCTGCACAGTTTCAAAAAATTTTTGTTGTCAACTTTTTTATGTTAATTTTTTATTGATATTCGCTTTAAACATTATTATTTTCACTATATTTCGCACATTTCACTACCGTTTCGCATTCTCAACCCATTTACCATTTTTATATAGTTTGTTTTCGTTTTTCTCGTTGGTTGTGCGCTCTCGCTGCAAACCGAAAATTCACTCACAAAAATATACACAACTACACACACTCTCGTTACATACGAACACACTCGATTACTCGTATATACGAAAGATGAAAAATTTTTCTCACTACCTTTACTCTAAGCAGGTTTTTCGATTTTCATTCGTTGATTTGACACACTTCCCGCACGATTTTCATGCCGTTTTCATTACACCCACTTACTTTAGCGATTGTTTTTCACTTTTTCAGTAGTTTTATTAATAAATTATGACATTTTCTATATAAATATGCGGAAAATAACGCACGCACGATACGTTAATACGTTTGAGGGAAAAGCGAAAAAGTAGAATGCGAAATGTGAGCTTAGCTGCGGTTATTGTGGCGTTTTTCTTTGCTGACGGAATTCCGAGTGGAGTGTGTTCCATTAGGTAATCGTACTTAGGTAGCAAGGCAATTGGCAGTGTTTACAGCACGCATAGTTACGAATTGGAAATGGAGAGAATGAAATGTTACCGGTACATTTGAAAATTGTAGAATTTTTTTTGTATTATAAGCTTATTTCTTTTTTAAAACAATGAGGAAATATTTTTGTATTTAAAAATAATTTTTTTTTTTTACTCATTGAATGTTAGACACTGGCAGTGCTGTCAAACATTTTATAGGCATTTGGTTCACTGTCGTTTAAGAAGCATTACATTTATGGACTTCAAATAACTCGAGTGGAATATTTGTAATCACCGAATCAGCGCAAGATCTAGGCAAATCAACAAAGCGCCTACGAATATCCTGAATACACATCCCCAAGAATGCGTACATTCCATCTTTAGAAGTTTTCTAGAGGTAATGCCTTGACCCCGTTGAAAAAAAAATAAATAATAATAGAAATAACTTCATCATACCAAATAAAGGAATTGTCGCATCAGTAACGACCTCTTTGTCAACATAAAAAGTTTTTTTATTTAGCTCAAAGTATTCTCCAGAGTTCCTATGTCAACTTTGCGTCTGTCAAGATTTTAAGCGGCAGCCTAAAGGTTAAGGTAGACAAAAAGCTGCTTCTAGAAAACTTCCGTCAAGACCGTTAAGATGATAATTTTTGCAGTGACGGATAAAGGCATCCAGTGGAAAGATTTGAGATCAATGTATTCAAAAGTTGGTTGAAATCATTTATAATACCAAACCAGATGCTGAACTAAATTTTCGACGGTTTTAAAATATAAACCGGCACTTCGTCCGAAGTTCATCAATCGTCGCTGGCTTATTGGCATATACCATAGATTTGACTTAGCCCCACAGGAAATACTCTAATGGCGTTAAATCGCACGACCGAGGTGGCCAATTGACTGGTCAATTTTGTGAGATAACACGTTCACCAAACTTGGTTTTCAATAAATCGATTGTGACATTCGCTGAGTGGCTTTTGACGTCTTCCAAGTCCATATCATCAATTTCGGGTAAGAAATATTCGATTATAATTGAGCGGTGGCGCTTCCTATTCACTGTGACGTTCCGGTTTTGATTATCACGGAAGAACTACGGCCCAATGATGCCGCCGCCCCATAAACCGCACCAAACCGTAATTTTTTCGAGATGCAATGGCATCACAGGAATAAAGAATTTCATTGATATACCAAACCGTTTTTGTTTAATTTAAACAAATTTTTGTAGCGCTCTTATTGAAAATCAGGCTCTGTCTCCGAATTTCGGTAGTAAATTTTTATAATTTCGGCTAGTTGTTGGATCATAAATCTTTGCACGATGAAGTGGCAAACCTTAATAAAGAGAAATGTCGAAAGCGCAAAAAAAATCCCGTGATTTGCTATCCCTGTTGGTCTACTTTTGTAGCATCTCTATTGAAAAATCCGATATTTAAAGTATAAAGCATGACGAGCTGAGTCGATTTAGTCATGTCCATCTGTATATACGTGAGCTTGTTCTTCAGTTTTTGAGATGTCCACCTGAAATTTTGCACACGTTTATTTTTCCAAAAGAAGTTGCTCATTAGTTGGAATCGCCGATATCGCACCACTATCGTATATACTAGCTGCTATACAACGAGCGGAATTAAGTGCTTGTATGGAAAACTTCTTCATTTGACGAGAAGGTTATTGCTTAAGGCAGTGATGTAATCTTCGAAGGAATAGTTCAGTTCGGACTACTATATGCAGCATATAGCTGCCATACAAACTCAACGATCGGAATCAAGTTATACAAAGGAATCTTTTTTAATTGGGTAGAGTATTATAGTTTCGAAACCGAAACATTTTTGGTTGTTATTATTATTGTTTTTATTACCAAGATTCTCGATAATATGAAAACTTCTTATCTGTTTTTGCTCATTGCACTGGAAATTTGTTCGTGTTGCACACGAAAGCATATTTTGTTGCCTACATTTAGGCGCCAATCAATTTTGTGCCACAAAGCACCCTAAACAAGAAGAATTTAGAAAAATGAAACCACTTTTTGTTGTGTTTTAAGTATGCGTTATGCTTTTATTTTATTATGCCAGACTTTCTCGCAATATCTTTTATATTTATCTACTATTTTATAGTATCGTGGTTCTGCTTAATCATCTGCTAGTAATTACAATATATTTATTTTAGCAATAATATTTATTATGCACATTTCTTCATTCAACTTAGTGTAATTAATTAATTATTATTTACCAAGTAACGTTATGCTTGTACATACAGACACACATATGCACTTACATGACTATGTATGTATGTCTTGATTACACTTAAATATTAAACTTATGCACTCATACATATGCATATATGTATGTATGTGTATATGTGTATGTTTTACATAAGTACATTTACATAATCGTATATATGAATATATTTACTTAATGTTGTTGTTTTTAATGTAGCTGTGTGTATGTATTGGCGCTGTGATAATGATATTTACCGTTGCAGTTGATATTTTTGATAGTACCGTTATAATTGCTTATGCATTTTGGCTCATATATTTGGCGTTTCGTTCATATACTTGTTTGTATATACTATATGTGTGTGTGTGTGGATCTACATTTGCGTTTGTATTGCGGTTCATCTTCGTTTTTTAATATTTTTTTTTAAATTTTATTATTATTTTTTAGTCAATACAATTACATAATTAGCACACAAACTTAAATTCAATTCGTTTAGTTGCACATATTATACATACATATGTATGTATATACTTATGTAGATATGTTTTTTTTTTTGTTTTTGTTTTTGCTTACATTTAGAATTCGATAAGTATTTTTGATACGTTTTGGTTTTAATTTTATTTGTCCTTTTTTCTCTTTGCTCTTCTTTTAGTCAGCTTATATGCGCAGTACTTATTTATTATTCGTTTCTTTTTCGCTTTACATTCTTCTGCATTTTTTCTTGGCTGCTGTCTTTGCATTTCTAGAATTAATTTTTTTGAAGTCATTGTTATTCTTTAGCTAACTTACGGTAAATCATAAATAATATGTTTTTTTTTTGCCTTAATTACTGGTTTTAGATACATTTTACAAGTTTTCGAAGCTTTTTCTGTTTTTACGTTTATGCCTTAAAGAATTAGTTTTTTCAAAATTATAACGGGATTTACAAATCAAATCTAAAAGCAGCTACAGTAAAGGATATGTAAAAATATATGTAAAATTACATTCAATTGAAGTAGTTTTGCTGAAAAAAATTATTTTAATGAAAAATAGTATCACTTACGTGTTGATAAAGTATTGAGGAACCATTGAAAAACTATTGGGAATTAGTATTTGTAGGTTTGGTAAACTTTTTGATACAAATAGAAATTTCATTTGTCAAAAATATATTTTGGATCAAATTATTAAATTTACTGAACTGTTGAGAAACTATTGAGAAGCTTTTGAAAGTCAAAATTTTTAACTTCCTTAAGCAACAAACAATATCTGCGGTTTTAGCAGTCTAAAGCAGTAACAAAAAGTCATTACATAGTCTTTCACAATAACATATTCTCAACAGATATACTACCATTTTACCATTAAGAAGTTGTTGCCAATAAACATATGTATGTTTCATTTTGGAGATTTTCCTAGAGAATGTTACCCAGAAGTTATATGACCTGCATGGTTACCTTAATAAGTCATACTTTGCAAAAAATGTTGATTTCGAACAGTTAACCAATCGTCTTTGAGAGTTGATTTCGTATTTAAATTTGGTTTGGTTTCGGTAAAACAAATTTCAATTGACGGCTAAGTAAGTGGTTTGAGAACTCCGAATATCAAAGATCACTTTTTGATTTGAACGTCATGCATCCCTTACTTCTTAATCGTATTAACATAGTTAGCCAACTAACGAACAAACAAGCAAACATGCTAAGTAAATATGTATACTTATATATCTATATACCTAAATATATATGTTTTAAATAAATGCATTAGTTTCGCAACTTGAATATAAACTACGCACGCTGCCCAACCGCCGGTGCTGTGATGGACGTCGTAAACAGCAATTGTGCCATGTAAAATGCCAAATGAAGCTTCAGAATTGTGGTTAATGAAGTCGCGCGAACACCACCGCGCGCCGCCTCCTCGATGCCTGTCAAAAAGCCGCAAGTAAAAGAAATTGAAATGGGTTAGACATTTTTCTTTGGATTATGCAAAGCAACTCACCACTGATAAAATTGAGATGATCGTCATTTATAGACGCGATGCCGGGATGCAATTTAATTTCTGAAAAAAAAAAAAAAAATTTAATTAAAATTAAATTTTTAGTATTGAAGCAGATGGAGTTAAGAATAAGTTGAATAAAAAATATAAGGAAGTGCGAGTTATTTAATTGAAAGACTGCCATTCAGCACTTTCATTCTCTCCCCTATATACTTTTGATTCATTAATGTGTCAAAAGGTTAAGCAATTCTAGAATATTCTGCCCTATTTTTAAAATAAACGTCGTCACCTGCATTTCTCTAATGGTTCGACTTTTCCTGCTCTGTGTGAGCTATATTGCAGTACGTTTCCAGATCTCTAAGTGACTGATAATCCCTTATTAATTTTGTAAAGATCCAGCTGTAGTTCTTTCTTCTGCCATCCCATTCCAAAATACGATTTTTAACAGTGGTTTGTATCGCTTTTTTAAGTTAGATACAGATTTATATATGTAAAGAATAAGCCATCAAATTTAAAGGGAAATGTTTGTTATTATTCGAAAATAAATTGGCATTTATTTTGCGATTATTATCTTTTTCAAATATTGGCCGCGGCTACGTCTCAGATAGCTAATCCAGTGAGTCCAATTTTCGATGGCTCGTTCGAGGATTTCGACTAGTAACTGATGAATTTATTCCAAGGCCTGAATCCAAGCGGGATCTTCCTCATATACTTTAGACTTTGCATATCCCCACACTAAAAGTCTAACAGTGTGATATCAAACGTTTATTGTGACCAACCGACCGGCAAAAAACGTAAAATTATCTGCTGATCGAAGTGCTCTCTCAAAAAGCCCATTGATTGACGCGTTGTGTGGGAAATGGCGGCGTCTTGCTGAAACTAAATTTCGCCAAAATCATGAGCTCAATTTCAGGCATCAAATAGTCGCTCGATAACGGTCGCCATTGACGTTTAGGTTCTCACTGGCATTATTTTTAAAGCATTATGGATCGATGGACGAGACCACAAACCATTATTTTTATGGATGAAATGGCAGCTCTTGAATGCTTTCAGGTTACTCTTTGTCCCAAATGCGCAAATTTTGCTTATTAACATACTTATTGAGCCAAAAATGTGTCCTCACGCTGAACAAAATTTGGCTCGAAAACGCCGCATATTTTTGGAACTTTCAAGAGGCCATAGAGCGAAGCGATGTCATTTGGGAAGGTTGAGCGGCTTCAGTTCTTGCACCATCTGTATTTTGTACGCTTTCAATTCTATTCCATTTTCCAGTTCGAGTTGTTGCGAACGGCACCGAATCGACTCTCCACGGTCGATTATTATCCAATAATGAATGTTGGATCTCAAGATGGGTGAATATGTTGCGAACAGACCGTTGACTAAAAGTTGGACAAAGCGCGCGAAACACCTTCTTTACAGAACATGAATTTTCCTGATAAAGTTGAACAATTTGTCAGGCGTAAATCTTTCCACGATGAAATGTCAAACAATACTGAACAAAAATAATATGCCAGTTTGACACGACTAAGGCGTGATCTGTCGAAAAAGTCTATTGTGGGCATGAATGATGACAACACACGTCGACTCATCACAGACGTTTCGAGTTTTCGAGAGAAAAGTTCGGATTTCTACTTTTCTTATATATATGATGAATGACGAGACAAGTAGAAATCCGAACCTTTCTGTCGAAAACTCGTAACGTCGACTCATCAGATGTTTTCATCATCCATGCCACTGCACCATATAGCAGGACGGGAATAATGAGTGAGTAGAGTTTGGTCATTGTTCGTCGAGAAAGGGCTTTACATCTCAATTGCCTACTCCGTCTGATGTAGAACCTATTGGTCAGAGTTATTCTGCGTTGGTATTCGAGGTTGAAATGGTTTTTGCTGTTAATACTGGTTTCAAATAGACGAAATTATCTAAAACTTCGATGTTATGATTTCCAACAGTGACGTGGGAGTCTAGTCGCGAGTGCAACGACAGTTTGTTTGACGACAGGAGATATTTTGGCTTACCCGCGTTCACTACCAGACCCATTTGCTTCGGCTACTTAACAATTTTGGAGAAAGCCAAAGTACCGGCATGGTTGTTGAGGCTAGCTCAAATTATTTTCTAGAAGAGTAGATTGTGAAAGTCGACCGAAAAGGAGTCACTTTGTCGGAAACTCGAACGGCTCGGAGACGTCCTTGCCGATCCTGACAGTTTATCGTCAGCAGTATTAGTATTGCGGGGATACCAAATTCAGATATCGCGGGATAAAGGCAGCTCTTTTTCGAGCTGTCAAAGGCAGCTTCGACTGGGTCTTTTACATGATTTAGTGCATGGTGAATATCGGGTCTGTTGTCGATTTTCCAGGATTAAAGTCACACTGGTAGGGTCCAATCAGTTTATTTGCGGTGGGCCTTAATCTTTCACACAATACGCTCGATAGAACCTTATGTGCGATGTTGAGATTGTTTATACCATGGTACTTGGCGCAGATTGTGGAGTCTCCCTTTTTGTGGATTGGGCAGAGCACATTTCAATTCCAATAGTCCGACCCTATTTTATAAAGCAGCTGATGCATGTAACTGATACAGTTCTTCGCCGCCGTATTTGAAAAGATCGGCCGGCAATCTTGTTTAAATATAAAAGAGAACATGATCCGAAATATATCGTGTGGGTTTTGGGGGTTTTTTTGATATCATACTCGAATTCTAATTATAGACATTGAAAAAATACTTAAATTTTAATTTTATGCTCTTCAAATTCTGTTCTCTTTTTATAAAACAAACATTAAAACAGCATTTATTACCATTAAATCATCTCCATCACCACATAAATAAATGCCACATCATAATATTCATACTTACCATAGAGCCTTAGAGTGCCCTCTGCACGGCCGAGGGAATTCGTGCTCACACAGTGGTATGTGCCAACATCGGAGGGTGAGAACGAGCGCACGACCAGCAGCATCACGCCACGGTAGCCATCACGTTTTTCCGTTATGCCATATTTGGGACTAGAAAAAGTGTAAAGGGCATATGTCACTGTTTTATGGGAAAAGTTTTTATTGCGTAAATATGGTTTTTGGCGTCTTTCGTACACGAATGTAAATATGTATTTTGTATGTGTATAAGTTTAGGTAATTGCAATTATTAACACATGTTTGAGTTTACAATTCCATAAAATATGCCTATATGAAGAAAAAATACCACATTCACATCATTACAGATGTAACAACGATATGACATCACGTCGGCACATCGCAACAATATATCATGTGATGTATGCTTGAGCTTACAAATCCATAAAAAATGGCTCACATTATTGCAGAATTAACACGTTACGTCGGCAAATCACCACAACATCATGTGATATAAATTTGTGGCGTGTGACCCAACAACATTGCACCGAGCTTCAATAGGTTTGAATTTTTTAAATCCAATCGTGATCCAATATCTCATCACATGATCGCTTCACTGTTGAGGGAACTAATAATCCCTTTCGGGAGGCGTGACTTTTCGTTTCTGGGTCAGTGACCGTTCAATTGATGAATCTCGCAATGTAATTTTGATACCATCATTAGATATCTGGTTTCACGGAATCGGTTGGAACCGAAACATTCGACCAAGCGCCGATTTTTTGGCAAAACAAACCTATACGGTTTGATATTTGTCTTGGGTTTGTCGGGAAAGTGATTTTACTGATTTTGTTACGCCTCAACTGTACTTCGGAGCGTGTGCGCACCGACTGTATTTTGTAGAGGGCGTTCCTAGCTAACGAACGAGCGGCTAATCTGTTGTCTCCGGGCACCTGGAGAATCAATACAAATATTTTCGCACGACGTGTTTCTGTGAGTGGTGCAGCGTTTGTTAGAGCAGAAGTACGCGATTAAATTTTGGGTGAAACTCGGTAAATCTGCGACAGAGACGTTTGATATGACAAGCAGACTTACCCAGATGTTGCTTTAGCAAGAAGCGGTGTGTTTCGGAGCTACTCGGGAAGAGGTTGCTGTGACAATGTGACTCGTGTGCGCAAAGTTTTGAACTCAGACCGACCGACTAAGTATTTGTTTAATTGCTTAGATGTTAAATTTATCAAAATCTGTGGTTCATGACATTGTGACGGAGCACTTGAGTATGCGCAAGGCGTGCTCGAAGATGGTCTCAAAAGTGCTCACTGACGACCAGAAATTGCGGCGAGTGCAAATGTGCCAAGATAATTTTAACCCCAATTTTTGAGTAACGTAATCCCATGTCCGCTTGGACTTTTTTGTTTCCTTGCCTGAAAAGGCCGATGTAAAGCAAGCCGAGGGGATCCAAGCAGCTTGCCCCTTGGCTCTCAAAGCTATTCCGGAGAATGCCTTGCGTGATGCCTTCAATGCTTGGAAATCGCGCTGGCAGCGCTGCATCGATACAGAAGGAGCCTATTTTGAAAGCTATTAAAAAGTTGTAACGATTGATTCAATGAATGTTTCGAAATCGACCCAGTCCTACTACTTTCCGAACGAAACGGCACCATATAATGAACTTGATCAGAGAAGCCATGTTTCCTACGTTTATATGTTTGGATATTTAAACGTGATGTCGATCTTCATTATGTTATTAATGGAAATTACGTAAAAAGTTAAATCGGAAAGCCACGTGAGGCATTCTAAGGATCAAGGTTTACGGTCAAGGTTTGCGGGGAATGTTGATGGAGAAATCTATTGTCGATAACTGTCGACTAGCTCGAGTTTCAGACTACGACACAGCTTTTTTCAAGCGGAGTCGGCAACCATTAAGTAAGCAGCAGATATACTACTTAAGATTCCAGACATATTCGGGGAAGCGAGTCTGTCCTAAGCGGGATCAGGGCTGAAAAAGCATTGTTAACACATCTTCTTATCTAAAGGTGCACTAATGGAAATTTAAATAATTTTGTAAATAATTTATTCCGAGTCACTTTATAGATAAATGAGATTCAGGAGTTTTCTGGTATCACAAAGTACACATATGTCTTTAACTGACTAAGTGTAAACCCAAACATATGAATCCGTATTTATTATATATTTTCATAGCAACAACAAAATATGTTCATGCAAATTTATCATTTTAAATATTTACCCGTCCAAAAGCATTTCCGGCCCCGGCTGGCCCGATTCCAAATTCGAATTGGAGATGCTCGCATAGCCGCTGGGCGTGCGGGCGCCCTTCAGCCAATAGGAGACAGGCGATGGTGAGGCCTCGACATGACATTCCAGTTGTACGTCGGAGCCGAGTGGTGTGCCTAACAATTGACTGGGAGCGCGTACCATGGGTGCAACTGTAAGAGGGCAATAAAAGTTGTAATTGATTGTAAATTTTTTTAAGTTAATTAGTATTAAATAAATATTTAATAAAAAATGTTCAATTTTTTTTTATTATTATTTTCTCTTTTTGGAAACTCACATTGTACACTGAGCGAAACGCGTTTACTAACTGCCGGTGGGACGTCATTCGATGCAATGCACAAGTAAGCGCCCATCTGGCGCCGCTCCAAGCGCACCAGCCGCAACGACGAGCCACTATAGGATTCCACTAAAAAAGAAAGTGAAGAAAAACAGGCGATAGTGACAAAAGGAAATCGAAAAAAATACAAATTGAAATAAAAGTGATTGAAGAACTTTCACATCGTGCGACCTGAATGATTTATTGACTTCAAAGTGTCTATAAATAATCGTTTATATACTCGCACTCGCGCACACGACGCGTACGAACTCAAACTCCACGAACACACGCTGCCACCGTCGCTTGCAAACGAGTACGAGTAGGAGTTGACGAGCTACAATAATAACACGCGTACATACCTTTCATGAGTTCGCGACTCCCCGGCTTGCGTATTAAAATCATATCACCATCTTCACGACGCCAGATGACGCGCGGCATTGGATTGCCGGTCGCCTTGCAGGTCAAAGTGGCATCCTCGCCCTCTTGCACCGCCAAATCGGCCGACGATTCCTCGTTGATGATGTCGGGTGGAACTGCAAGACAAGCCAACACACAATATATGAAGAGCCGACGTAGATATATATGTGTTTGTATATATAGATAAATGTATACACGAACGTGTAGTGTATACAAAGTGACGTTGAAGGTTAAGTTGCTCGGAAAAAATGCTCAAGATTATACGTGACTTAAGCGCATTGCAAAAGTGAAGTGGCACTGATACTGCTGACTCTTCATGGCGCACGAATTATTATGGCGCTGCTCGATTTTTTCCTCTCTGTTTTTTCTTGTGCAGATAATTAAATAAAGCTGTCGTGCTTGGACTCGCATAAATGCTTGCTGCCAACTGCTGTGAAGGACAGCGCCATAATGAGCTTCAAATTGGCGAATGGGATTTTACATTTATGCTCATTTATGTTGCGTTCAAATTTACATACTTTTCGGGTAATTCAAAATTTTTTATTGAGTGTTCACTTTTATTTGTAACATTATTGAGGATATTAAGGCGCTCGTAGAGCGAATTACTTGAGCTGTTCATGCTAGGTTATGTTCACTTTGATGTATGGAAGAAATACCTACATAGGTATGTATGTGGTGAATACCTTGCTAAAGGTTTGACTGTCTTACAACAAAAAGAAAATCGTATACACGAAAAGATTTTGCGAATTTCGTGATAGTCGTGCTGTAATTCCGTATTATTGCATTAAAATTTTGCAGACCAACATCGGCTTGGAATCGGTGAGAAAATAGAATATTTAGGAATATTTCGAACTAAGCGCCATCTATTCTTCAAAATCTAGCAACTACAGTACAGCAACAAGCGAAAACATTGGTTTTAGTAAAGGACGAGAGAAGAAGTGGTACATGAGGACTGTAGTATCGCAGTGGAGAGAAAGCAGACAGCTATCTCGCAATGTTGCGATCGACCACAATGCTAGCCGCGTGGGATACATACCGAGGGTTGAAGAGGGAATGGCAGACAAAAACAGGAGATATGACAAAGTGCGTAAGTATGAAGAGCTTGAGCAGCTGAAAGCCAGGGTAATGCTAGAATATTCTATGAAAAAATGCGGCGATTAATGAAAGGTTTCAAGAGCGGAGCATACTTTCGTAACCCCCGCAAAGGTGATCTAGTGACTGATGCCCGTAACATACTCAAATTATGGAGGGAACAACCTACTGAACGGCAGTGAAAGTGTAGTATCTAGAATGGCGAAGGTTCGAATAGCAATTACCCGCCTTAATAACAATAAAGTGGCGCCTGAAGAACAATAAAGCGGCAAGGGCCGATGCATTAGTTTCTTTGTAAAATATGGTCCGATAAAAGCATGCTCGATGATTGTAACGTAAGTGTGCTCTGCCCAAACCACAAAAAGGGCGACCCCATAATCTGCGCCGATTATCGTGAGATAAGCCTCCTTAAAATCACATATAAGGTGTTATCGAGCTTAGTGTGTGGAAGATTGAAGCCCACCACGAACACACGGATTGGACATTATCAGCGTGGCTTTAGATGTGGTAAATCTACAATCGACTATATTTTCACCATGCGCGAAGTCTTGGAAAAGACCCGTGAAGAGAAGATCGACACACAAGACTTCGTCGATTTGAAATCTGCTTTTGACAGCCCGAAAAGGAGTTTCCTTTATACCGCCATGCATGAATTCGGTATCTCCGCAAAACTAACACGGCTGTGTAAATTGAAGTTTAGCAATTTCAAAAGTTCCGTCAGGATCGGAAGGTACCTTTTCGAGTAATTTGATATTAAGCGAGGTTTCAGACTAGGAGACTCCCTATCGTTTAAATTCTTCAATCTAGAAATCTGGAGAAAATAATTGTAGCTGCAGAGCTAAATAGAGAAAGTAAAATATTCCCGTTAGATATGTTTTGAAAGACTTGATAAGGAAGGGAAGCGTATGGGTCTGATTGTGAATGAGAACAATACGAAATATCTACTCTCATCAAACAAATGGTCATCGCATTCGCAACTTGGCTCGCACATCACTGTTGATAGTTTCGTCTATCTTGAAATCAGTATTAACACCAACAACAATGTCGGCCTCCAAATCCAACGCGGAACAACTTTTGCCAACAGGTGTTATTTCGGACTGAGTAGGCAGTGGAGAAGTAAAGCCCTTTCTCGACGAACAAAGCTCAACTCTACAATGGCCTCATTATTCCCGTCCTGCTGTATAGAGCGGAGCCATGGACAATGAGATCATTGATGAGTCGGCCTTACGAGGGAAAGGTTTTGCGGTAGATTTATGGTCATTTGCGAGACAGTACCTGCTTTGGCTGGGTCATATTGTCCGGATAGTAGAGAGTATGCCAGCTTAGAAGATTTTCGATTCGGCCGGTGGAAGGAGAGGTATGGGAAGTCTTCCACTCCGTTAGAGAGATAAGTTGAAGAAGGACCGGGCTGCACTTGGTAAGAAACGACACTCGCGCTGTTGTTAACTCGGTTATAACCGCCTAAGCAGGGTCTACGCCAGTAAAGAAGAAGAAAAATTATTTTCCTCGATAAGATTGTGTTCTCCGAATCGAGGATCAGAAAAAGAATCAAACCTAATCTAACATACTAAATATAGGAACATCGAAAGAGTTCGTAGGTCACACAAAATTGTTTTAGTGGAGCTTATTTGGTGTTTAATGTTCCTTTCAAAGCGGATAACGAAATTTAATTGAAGATGAATCCTTCTCCTGTTATGCTAATCACCGCGAGAAGACGTTTTTGGGCGGTGCCTCCGAACACTGCTGCCAACGGCAAAATTAAAAAAAAAAAAAAAAAATGTATGAAAAATTCGTAGTAGTAGTGAATCACACTTCGGTCGGTGCTAACAGGGATCTCACTTGGGCAGCTTAGAATTTGTGGTACCTGCAACTTCTATATAACAGATCAGAAGACACTTATAAGTCGAGAGAGCGCTTTGAGCCTATCACATGTTTGTTGAAACGGCTTTGTCTCTTGGTTCGTCGAAGGTAAGAACACCATACAACTTTGAAAACTTGCGCCCGTCAAAATTTTTTGCTTTACAGCAAGAATACCTATAGGGAAATGTCCAGTAAGATCCTATACTATTGCGGCAATAGGAACTTTGCGAAGATGATCACCTGTGATCAAAAGCACCTTGCAGCCGAGAGCGGGTCATCGGTATATACATACGTCTAATACATATTGTCTTCGTTTTCTAATTTAGTCAAGCACAATTTTATAACTTTCGGATATCCAATAATGCTTCCGAAAATATTCAGATAGATTTCTGGGAACCCTTTGCGTTATAAAGTGACTAAAACCTATTCACTTGTTCTGACTTTTAAAAAATTTTAAATAAATTTATTTAATTTACAAATCTCAGCAGTAAAGTATTTCATGTGCTTGTAATTCTAGATATGCGATTAGTTTATGAAGCTTTAAAAAGCGTATGTTAAAAAGTATTGGCTTTACTTGATGTTCAAAATTTCATAAAATATTTCTCAACCCTTTTGATTTTATCTTACCTTGCACATCGATGCAACCGATTTGCTTTTTCATTGGACTCGTATTTATTTGGCACATGTAGCAACCGCGATCACTTTCGCGCAATTTGCTTATCTTCAATTTCCAAGTGTGAGCATCTTCATGTATGACGCTTATCCGAGCATTGTGTGTGACAACGCGACCTTGCAGGGCGAGCACAGTTTGATCGGAGGCGCGTAACCAGCCGACCTGTTGAAGAAAGACAAAGAGCGAGAAAGAATAAAAAAGAAACGGCATTTGAAAAATATTTATGGATTCAATTCTTGGTTGGGTTAAATTGAGTGCTCACACATCAGCTTCTAAAACTTTCTAAATAAACTAAGTTAATCATACACAAGCGCCTGATTTCATTCCGTGGGCACTGAAAGTACTGAGGACTGACTTATTTAGCTAAATATAATTTAGAGCATTCACATTCTCTAGGCCTGTCAATTGTCTTATAGCCTACGTTGATTCCTAGTTAGAGCATGACTCTGAAGCCAGTGTAGATCCAGATGTTTCCCTTATATGCCTTCCGAATTAATATTTACTGATTTCGACTACATCTTATTATGATAAAATTAGGGGCTTTGGTTTCTCCACTTCAGATTCGAAGCCATTGGGAAACTTGCTATTCATAAACAAATTAAGCTTGGTAGTTTTTTAATGCCGTATTTGATCTTTAAGCTCGCTTACTCTATTCTACTATTTTATCTATAAAATTTTTGTCGAAGGGTTTATTAAAAGATGCTCCCTACCGCGCCTTCAGAGTTTATAAATATATGGTTCTCACTCTGAATGTTAGTCTTCGGTGAAAGCAGCATGTGGCTTTGATCATCGTCAAAAGTACAAAAGTACTTATGGTATATAGCCGACTTGCTGAGCATGTTTTGAGGCTGCAAGCCAAGGATTATTAGATGAATGTACACCCTAACCGTCAACCCGATTTCTACATTCGAAGCGCTGGCTTGGGTTTCGAAAACATAGCGGACTTCGTAGGACTTCAACTTTCGAAACTACAAAGGTTTGCCTGTATCCTTTATCAAACAAACAGCTAAACATATAATGCTTCAAATGACAGCAGAAAGGTTCGGTAGAGGGAAGGTAAACTCCTGAGAGACAGCATCACCAAAAATAAAAACTTCACAAATAAGTTTAAAGTTACCAATGGCTGTAAGGCTAAGGTCGCAGCAAGTGCACCTTTTCTGAGTGCAAGGCCATAGGGTCCTAGCCGGAAATGAATTGACTGACGAGTTTGCCAGCTACTGGAGTACCCTCTATTAGGGTTGATTCTCAAAACATCACGGAGTTGCTCCTCAAGGGGAGAGAGTGAACAGGCAAAAGTATTGGCAACAACTCCAAGTTATGCGGCAGTCAAATTTGCTACTAGGTGGTTACAACGTTACTAAGTTTCTAAGTTTAAACATGTAATCAACCTTGCAAGAGAGAAACTTCATTTCGCATTTTCCACTGGGTACTGCAAGTTCAAGAAGCACCAATTTAATATGAGTTTAGCTTCTTATGCAAACTGCCGGTTCTGCGCCATAAAGCTGTAAAGTCCCGAGCACTTGGTGCTATGTAGACAGTATAGCGCTCTGTAGAGGCAGTATTAAGGCTCTGGAATCCATGTATCGAAATAGGGATCATATCGCAGAATTTATCATTTTAGGGTACAATAGATCTTAGGTCGCGGTGCAGATAGCGTTTTCCCTTACCTTCCTATGAAAAAATCAAGCTTGGCATTTCTGCAATGCTTTATGCAAGCTTTAAGTTATCCAATTCCATCCCACCATTAAAAAAAATATGCATAAAATAAAGCTTAAGATTACATTTACCCACTTCGGAAAAAATAAAATCAGTCTTGATAAGTGTCAAGCACTCCAACTCACCTTATTTTTACCCAAATTCCGCACCGAACACGCCAATATCGCCTCACGTCCCGCCGGATATGTGACATTACTAATGGTGCCCAAGAATTCCGGATCCGGATCGAGCTGCGAATTCGGCTCTGTAATATAAGTGTAAACTAATATTGAGCAGTAGCTTACATTACTGTTAGTCGGTGGTTTCAATAAAAATTGCTGGCATAGTTAGACTTGTCATACTTACCATGCAGATTCTGTGAGCTTGAGTTGGGACATTGGGTCGCCACGAAAAGGAATATGATGAGCAGTGGCTTGATTTGTGGCATTTTTTGTCTGTTTTATTTTCTTTTCTTTTGCAGTGCTGCCTCGTACGCCTAGTGTGCTTAATGTGAATTGAGCTTTTTGAGCTTTTTATTGGTGAAGAGTTTGTAAATGTCTTTGGCTTAATTTGCGTGGGTCGAATACAGTGCTTTTGTGGTTTTTTCGCTTTGAAACGAAACTTTCGATCACAGTTTTGGCTAATTTGCTTTTAATTTTTACTTTTTTTTTGTTTGTTAGTTATTAACTTTTAATTAAGCTTTTTGATGAAACTTTTTTTCTTCAAAATTGAAAGATTATATTTTATAGAAATTTGTGCAAATTTGCTGTTAGTTTGCGCAGCTTTTTTTCTCTTTTATAAACGAGTTTTGTTTACAATATTTTTCTATGAGCTTTAGAAAAGCTTTCTTTTGGGCTCTCTTATGCTTTTTAATTAACCGTTCGTATTTGTGTTGTAAGCCTTTATTATGGACCTTTTGTATTTGTAGTGCTGCTTCTTGTACTCTTTCTTCCACGCGCTCCCTTTCGGCACTCCTTCAAACTTTTTTGATTTATGCTCCTTTTGTTTGACACTTTTCACAACTTATTACAGCGGCAACATTTCCGTTATTATTCAAGTAGTTTATTGAAGTCCAGAAGAAAGCCCGCAACGCCAGCTGTAACGAATGAATAAAGCAAAGAAAGTAAGAAGTGTTAAATAAATTGAGCAAAGCTAGCAACGGGACAAGTGGGGCATAAATGTTTTTTTTCCTTCTTTTCCCCTTTTTTATTTATTTCCTTTTTGATTTTTTTTTTAATTTTGCGAGTTTTTTCCATTTTTTTCATATTGCAAAGCGCAGCAGCATTCATTTACATGCACATATATATATATATATGTGTGTGTGTGTTGGTGAGCCAACGCAATTCTCTTGTGTGCGGCAAGTTTAACGGTAAGCACTTTTCAGCTGACCGCAGCCAACTTAATGAACTTAAATTTAAAAAATAATGCCGTTTGCGTGTTTAAGTGTGCGTGGCGATTTGTGTTTGCATTTCAATGCATGTTTGTGTGTGGGTGTGTGTTTAAAATAGTGGAAAAGTGTAAGTACTGAAATGGTTAAAGTATGCGGAAGGAAACCAGGTAAATTGTGTATAAAATTTGCTGGCGCGAAGAAAATTGCAAAAAGTAAAAGATATTGAAAGCAATTTGCAATTGAAACAAAAAAAAAAAAAAAATAGCAAAATTAAAGAAATGCTGTATACAACAGGTTGGCAACCAGCGCCTTGCCAAGTGTTAAAATAACCGCATTCAACCCAAGTGCAGCGCGAGCCTTACTTCAAACCACCAACAATACGAGTACTTCATAATAACTTTTATGCATTGAGCGCTAATTTTGGCGAAAAATGTAAAAACGCAAGAATGTAGCTTAACACAATTATTATAGCGAGCTGAATTTCAAACTTTCGTACCATTAATTATTACAGGGTGGTCCAAAATGAAATGATCATATGTGAAGCTACCGATTTAAATGGGCTCAAGTTTGTTAAATAGATAATATTCTACTTTGGAAGTTACAATTTTGATAACAGAAGCTTTCAATAGCCGATAAAAGCTCTGGGCAGAGTGGAAGCTGGGCTCACATAAGGTAAGTTTAAAGACTATTTCAGAAGAGATGATAGCAGTCTATAGCAAGATTCTCGAGATAAAGAATCACCGAAACAGAAAGTAAATTGGGGTTATTGTAATAGGTTGTCAAAAAAGTCTTGCGGTATTTTTTTTATTATATTTTCAATTGTTCATAAAATTGGTTACGATAATGCGATTCAAGTCAATTATGCGCCGTTTTGTTCAATGACGCGTTCCCAACGAGATGCCAAGTTCATAATGCCCCTCTCATAGAAGCTCGCTTCTCTATTGGCAAAAAATCGGAGAGCCAATTTTCACAGGACTCTCTTGTGGCCAACTTCAGACTACCAAGCGCGTTCGCCAGGGACAGAAGCAGGTGGTAATCACTTGGTGCGAGATCCGGACTCTTCGGTGGATGCAAAAGAATCTCCCAACCGAGCTCTCGGAGCTTCTGGCGCATCACTAAAGATGTGTGTGGCCTGGCGTTGTTCTGATGGAAGACAATTCGGCCTCTGTTGATCAAAGATGACCTCTTCTGCATGAGTGCTGAATTCAAGCAGTCCAGTTGTTGGCAGTACAGGTCCGTATTGAGCGTTTGGCCATAGGGGAGCAGCTCATAGTGGATCATTCCCTGCCAATCGCACCAAACACACAGAAGAACCTTCCTGGCCGTCAATCCAGGCTTGGCCACCGTCTGGGCCGCTTCACCGCTTTTCGAACACGACCGTTTGCGCCTTACGTTATGGTAAGTGACCCCCTTTTCATCGCCAGTCACCATATGCTTCAAAACCGGGTAGTGTTTGTTGCGATTCAGAAGCGATTTGCATGCGTCGATACGGTCAAAGATGTTTTTTTGCGTCAATTCGTGTGGCCCCCATACATCGAGCTTCTTAATGACTCCGAGCTTCTTCAAATGGTTTGTAACGGTTTGATGACTAATGCTCAGCTCTTGGCCGATGCTATGGCTGCTACTATGCCGGTCTCTTTCGACCAATTCTGCGATTTTATCGCAATTTTCGACGGCAGTCCTTGCGGAGCGTGGCACATCTTCGACCACCTCTACACCAGAACAAAAACGTTGAAATCATCGTTGTGCGGTGGAAATGCTTTCCAAAAAGATACAGCATGACCCGATGTGACGAATAAAACTAGAACTACGCGCTCTCAGCGCCAACTAGCGCAAATACCGCAAGACTTTTTTGAAAACCTAATATCTCAAAGCTATTCAATGTCGATCAATGATTTAGGAATATTGTAATACTACTTTCTAGTTCTTAATTGACTCTCTTGCAAAATATTGCTAAAATATTGCAACCGAAAATCTAAGTAAAATGCCACCACATCGAATATATGTTACATTTATTATTGTAGGGCAGCCAAATCCACGGAATAATATTGAAAATAGTTGATAATCCCCAGACAGGGTAAAATTACTCATCTTTTCCGTTTACATATACCATAAAGCCTTGAGAACGGATTAGATGTTGTTAGCGATTATGATATTTTATTAAATACTTTATTCTACTTGGCAAGATTAATTGCCTTACTAGGAAGGAAGGCGCTCTTAACTATCTGAACTCGATGTCTCGTCTTGTTCTCTATTTATTTACCATATATGATCTGTTCGCATAGTTTCTGTATGACGTATGTGCTTTTAAAAGATCGAACCTCTGATCATTTTATAGAGCTGTATAGCTGTTGTGGAAGAACCAAAACCGGTGAAACAACTTTGCAGTCAATAAAAATATTAATGTACCATTTATTTTACAGTGAAGAAATACATTTAATGGATAGCTGATTCACATTATTCACATTAATCGGGGAATAAAACTTAATACAACTTTTTGTCCATGATTCTTATTTTCATTTTCACTTTTTCAGCCGGGTGATTKAGAAGTCCTGCAGTTTATATCGCTCTAAAAAAGTTCTTTAATCCATCTAACCAACGCAGACTTAGTACGTCTGAACAAAATAATGTGTTTCACGCTCTTCGTTCAACTTATGGTCAACAAACCCGGTCTTTTGAGCGTACTATTCGCAACACCTTCACCCATCTTAAGACCCAGCATTCATTATTGGTTAATATCGACAAATAGATCACGTCCAAAATAAAAAAAAATATAGTAGCCCTAGCTATACAGCTTGTACGGCTTCTTCTTTTCCGGAAAAACCCATTTGCCTATGAAAGAAACGCGTTAAGAGGCCATTCAAAGGGGTTGCATATTGGCGGCCATATCGGTCAACGAGCTAAAACACTCGTTCGACATGCTTTTGGACCGTGCACAAAGCTGTGTTTAAGCAGAAGGAAACTATTTTAAATAAAATGAAATGATTTTGGCGAAAAAACCATTTGTTCCGTTTTTTGTTAAGTCCTGTTTACTTTGGAATTCACCTTGTATACATGAAAGATTGCCATATTTAGTACGAAGAGCAACCTCAATAGATTCAAGAGCTGCCATTTCAATCAGAAAAAAAACGGTTTCGTGTGGCTTGTGGGCCGGTGGAATCATCGGTCTATATTTCTTCAAAAATGTGATCTAAAGTCACGCCATGATAACTGTCTATTTGATGACTGAAATTGAAGCTCGTGACCTCGGCGACCGGTCGATTGGGCACCAAGCTCGTTAGACCTTTTCCAGTGGAGATATGTAAAGTATATGCGGACAATTCCGCTTTGATTCAGGCTTTGGATCAAAAAGTCATGTGTGTCATTCGGCAGTTACAAATCGAAATGCTCAAACGAGTCATCCAAAATTGGTCTTAACAGATGGACCATCTGAGACGCAGGAGCGGCCAACATTTGCAAAAGATAATCTTCCGAAAATAAATGCCAAACAATGCTCTTTCGAATGATAATAAATATTCCTCAATCGATTTGGAGTTTTCGTGCTTTTTCTTTAAAAAAGTAGGGAACCTAAAATGAATGAACCCCACTTTAGATTGAATTTCTAGGTTAATATATAAGATTTGCAGTTGGAGTGTTGATAATCCACAAGCCATTATTGAGACGCCGCTACTTCCTCAAAAAGTCACAGTTTAGAGTACTGTGTGGACAGAGGAATCATTGCTTTATATTTATTCAAAAATGAAGTATTTAGCTTCAACAAAATGGTGCTACATGCCATACACCCAATGAAGCAGTCAATTTATTGAAGGAAGTTTTTGGTGAGCGGAATAACTCGCTTTGCCAGCCTGTGGCGTGGCCTCCAAGAACATGCGATTTAACAACGCTGGACTATTTTTTGTGGAGTTATATGAAGTCACTTGTCTATGCAGATAAGCCCGAGACGACTGACGTCTTGGAAGAGATTATTCGGCGCGTAACTGTTCGAAAATTGGGTCTCTTGCCTTTAAAACTTGAAAACTCCACGTCTTAAAAGCACGCTTCATAAATTAAAATTTTAAAAAATTCTCTAGTGTGTTAATTTCGTGTGCTCCCTTTTTTCTTGGTAAGGTGTAACTATTTTTGTAAGAGAGGAAGTAGAATATCTTTATCTTTCGTTAAAAACGGTTACTACGAAGTGAGTTAAGTGAGAAAACTGAGAGCGGTAGTTAAATTTCGAGTCCTTAGTTGAACTTTAGTGATTGAAGTCGTATGAGGTTAAGCTTTCCTTAGTTTACACGATGTGCATTCCCTACTTCCTTTATTTTTTCACGTTATAAGCTTGCGGAGTAGAAGTAGGAGTATTTGCAATTATAACTTCGAAAGGGAGATCTACGCACGACTGTTCCACATGAGTTGAGTCTTTAATGTTGGGTTTCGTAGAATTGGAAACTTCTCCGGCTAGAAGAGTTGTGGACTCACTTGATACCCACAATTTATATCGAGTACTATTTCGTGACTTGAAACTGTCATGTCTTCAAGAAAATATCTTCTATATATTGTAGTTTATGCTCAAGCATCATGATTGAGTACTCATCTGGACCCTTTTCAGTGCCATTTTCTGTAGATAAAATCAAATAAAAAGTAATTTTCTTCTGTTTGCGCTTTCATTACAAGTGAAATATATGTTTTTCTTGCTACTTTCAGCTTTCATTTCAAATTTCAAATAC